ACTGAACTAATAACTAAAATTATTGAACTGACTGACTGCACCTGGAACTTAACTGGAATATCTAACATAACTTGGACCAGACCAAATTAATATTAGACATAGAAATAACTGGTCTGAACTGGCCGGTTCACTGGCTGGCCGGACCGCCGGCTCGCTGTGGCCGGGCGGGCTACCGCTGGTCTGGGTCAACCAGCTCGGTTCTGCGTTGGGCCCGCCGATGCCCGGCGCTGTCACTGCATGGACTTGCACGGCCTGGATGCTACCGGGCCTTGCTGGACTCAACTGAGCACGGTCGTGGACGACCACGCGCACTGGCGTGCGACTTAGCTCGTTGGCGTGCTACTAGGCACGGCCAACGTCAACTGGACCTTACTGGCACGACAGACATTAGCCTCTGCACAACCGGGCATGACTTAGGTGCTGGCGGTTGCGACAGGCACAACCCGCGCGCATGGAACGACCATTGGGTGCCCCTGGGAACGACCGGCGGTCGACTGGACTCGTGGCATAGCAATAAGGCGCTGCCGGGTGCTGCGGGCGCCGACACTTGCATTACTGGGCACTGCCGGGCGCTACTAGCACCGCGGACAAACGACTGAGCACATGGACTTACGGACTAGCGCGGACTGGTACCATACAAGTGCTGCCGGGCGACCCTAATGGCACATGACGTTCGGCATGCTATCGAGCACTGACTGCGTGTTGCCGTGCGTAACTGGCGTGCACTACGCGCGTCTACGCCCAGGCCAGCTAACGGCACGTTACTGGACGTTGCGGCCCAGTGATGAAGATAGTGTGTTTCGACTGCCGATAAGCCACAAACCAGTGCCTTGAATCGCCGATAGTTGCTTAGAGGTTCACAAACCGCACCCCTCTAAACGATATAATTGCTATAGAATTTTGGTGAAAATCTAAAGCAAAGAGGATGAACAAAAGTTCTTGAGTTCTTATTAATTCTTGGATGATTCAATGATTAAAAATAACATAGGGGACATGGGTATTTATAGGAGAAAACTAAATCTAATTCTAATCTAACTAGATCTCCTAAACTGTGCAGTAAATAATCCCTATTCCAACTAAATCTCTAATTAAAGCAATTAAATATTAAATAACCTATACAATCTAGATATTGTTGTGCAAGAAGGAAACTAAATATTCTATAGTCCTAATTGACTAGATTGTCTTGATCTTGTTTGGCTTGCACTCCAAACAATTTCCATTCCACACGTCCATAGGTATTTTCGGCCGTTTTTCGCACCGCCTTCCATCTCTCGCGCGTCGCACATGCGTGCGCCGCCTCACTTCGCGCGTGCGCCTCGCCTAAGCCTCCGTGCGTTAGGAATCGCGCACCCACCGCCCTTGCGCTGCCTAGTCCTACCATGCCTAGGACTCCTGGGCGTCTATCTCTCATGCGCGTGCTATCGCGCTCGTCAGCTGCCTGCGCGCCTATTGGCGCGTCCTCATCCTTCGCGTGCGGACGCCCGTAACCCGTGCGCACCTCGCACACGTCCAGCGTCCCAGTGCTACCGCCACGCTTATCCAGTACCTTGCGCTCAAATGACGCCCGCGCATCATCATCCGATACGCGCCTTACGCCCCTCAGCCGTTCGCCGCTATCATCCGCGTTCCGGCCAAACGCCAACGCTTCCCGATCGACCCTCGTGGCTTGCCCGCTTACCGTGCATATATCATCTTGTTCCGTCCACCCGCGGCAATCTCTCGCGCGCATCGACCACCCAACATCCACCCCCTGCGCGCCCCTTCGCCAAACCATCAAGCGCCCTGCGCGTCTACGCCAATGCGCGTGTGTGCGCCCTTCGTGAATGCGCCCTTTCTCGTTTGTTTGTGCGCCTCGCATACGAGCTCGTACTCGTCTCTTAGGCCATGCACGTGTGGTGTTGGCCTTTTTCTCGGCCTTTTTGGATCGCCTCGGCCATCGACTCTCGACGTGCTCGGGCCTCGAAAGCCACTCCCGTATCACTGCTGCCCTGCGCCCGCGCGCATTGATACGTA